ACTCTTGTCTCCTGTTTCTTTCATTTGAGATGTTAAATAGCAACATGGCCTAAGGCCATGCTAGCACTGCCTTAAGGCCAGGTAAATTCTTAAAATATTTGTAAGAAACCAAAAGCAGAACCAAAAGGAAAGGCAACAAAACAAAACTATAAGGGTGTAAACGAAAAGGAAAAACAACAGTATGTACAGGCTTGAAACGAAAGGGAGTTTATTTACATGTTATGTCATGAAATGAAATGTTCAAGGGTAAGAGTGACTTACCTTGATTGAGGCGTTGAATGGATGTGGGGCCTTGAGTGGTGGCCCTTGAATGCTTCTGGATTCGGAGGGGGAAACCAGGGGTCACGTCCTTGATACTGGATTCAACAGAGAAGAACAAGTGTGAGGTTCTTCCTACTGGATTCGAAAAGGGTAACAAGGTGTATGGACGTTTCAGATTCTAAGGGGACAAGTGTTTGGATTCTGGATATTTTTGATTTGTTTAAGTGTTTGATGAACTTGAGATTTTTTTGTTGGTGTTTGAGAACAATTTTTGCAGATTCGTTCCTCTGGCTAAAAAGTCCTCTTTGGATTTTTTTGTGATTTTCTAAAGTGTTTAAGAACTTTGAGAATTTTACAGTGTTTGAGAAAATTTGGGAGAGGTTCGTCTGGCCCCAAAAAATCCTCTCCAGCTTTGTAAAAAATCCCTCTATTTATAGAGAAATAATGAATATGTCTTCAACAGCTAGCCTTGCAAAGAATTATAAAAATAATGGGTAACGTGACAGTACAAGTGGGGGGCCTGTTGGCAGCAGCAGCAGTGGGGTGCAGGAGATGTGACTGAGCCTCTGACATTGCTTGTGCTCAGACTGAAATCAGATGGAAAGCTGCTTTTGTGATAAAGTAATCTCTGCTTGAAGAAAAAGTATGTAGCCTTTAGCCCAGAATAGCAGTATCCAACAGACAAAGTTTGAAACCCTTGTGAAAACTTCTGACTTTGTAAAGATCTGGACGCAACACAGCCTGGCAAACGAAACTTGGTCTTGAGATGAGTCTAAGCTCTGATTCAAAGTGTTCAGAACTTCCTTCATCATAACATCTTAGATTTCGTTCTGATGTTCTTACTAAGGGAAACTATGAAGTTCTAGTCGAAGCCTTTGGTCGAAGCAAGCTAATGTGCAGGAAGCTATTGCCCAGTCGAAAGCTCATGCTCGAAGGAAGCATATTTTCCAATCGAAAGTTTGTGTTCGAAGGAAGCAATGTTGCCCAATCGAAGCATATTTGCAGGCAGTAAACTTGTCCAAATCGAAGCAGGCTTGCAGGCAGCTATTTGTCCAAATCGAAGTAGGCTGGCAAGCCACAACCTTGTCCTGGTCGAAGTAGGCTGGCAGGAAGCAACCTTGGTGAATCAAAACAGGTTTGTAGGCAGTACGCTTGGTGAATCGAAACAGGTTTGCTTGCAGGGGGCATGTGTGGCCAGCAGGTCATGGCCTTCGATTGCAACCATGCAGGTAACACGCTTGTCCAATCGAAAGGTTGAATCGAAGGATGTTTCCAATCCAAATGAATGATGTACCTAAGTTGCATTCGAAAGAGGCATAGAGTCAGTCGAAGGATGCAAGCCAAGCTTGTGTCGAAAGAGGCCAAAAGGCCAATCGAAGGATGCTGATCGAAAGAGGCCTAAAGGCCAATCGAAAGAGCTGAAACGAAGCACACTTGTATTTTTCCAAATTTTGTCAAAATCATGATTTTATCTGTTTTCTCCATTTTTGACAGTTTCCTTTTAATTGGTGCTGGAAAATCCCAATGCACTTGTTCAAGCTTGAACCTTGAGAATCCTTGTAATAAAAACCTTGAGAATTGAGAGGACAAATTTTGGGGTACAACAGTAGGCCTTAGAGTGTCAATGACTTTTATTTAGCCATATCAAAGTGATTTAACAATTCTTGACAATACTTGGTTTGACCCACAAAAGTCCCTTCCTCGAGTTGATTAATTTGAAGCCCAAGAAAGTACTTTAATTCACCCATCATACTCATTTCAAATTTTCCCTGCATCAACTTAGAAAACTCCTTGGCCAAATATGTATTAGTAGAACCAAATATAATATCATCTACATAAACTTGTACTAAAATTGAATGTTTTCCTTGGCGCTTAATAAAAAGAGTTGTATCAACCTTTCCTCTTGAGAATTCTTGTTCTAACAAAAACTTTCTTAGGCATTCATACCAAGCCTTAGAGGCTTGTTTGAGACCATATAAAGCACGTTTTAATCTGTAAACATGGTTAGGCTACTCAAAATTTTCAAATCCGGGAGGTTGAGATACATACACCTCTTTATTAATATAGCCATTTAGAAAAGCACTCTTAACATCCATTTGATATAACTTGAAGTTTTGTGAACATGCAAAGGCAAGCAAAAGGCGTATAGCCTTGAGTCAGGCGATCAGTGCATAAGTTTCTTCATAGTCGATGCCCTCCTCTTGGTTATACCCTTGAGCAACAAGGTGGGCCTTGTTGCGAGTTATTATTCCATTTTCATCCAATTTATTTCTAAACACCCATTTAGTTCCGATTACACGATGGTCTCGCAGAGGAGGGACAAGATCCCAAAACTCATTTCTCTTGAATTGGTTTAGCTCATCTTTCATAGCTAAAAACCAATGTTCATCAGAATAATACAAACTTTATTGAAGGTAAAGAAACAGAAGATACACTGACATTTATTGGAGGTGAGCTACCAACTTCTACTAAAGGTAAATAAAAATAGAGAATACACCAACTTTTACTGAAGGTGAACACCCAATTTCCACTTAAGATAGAGATATGCATTAAAAATAACAAGTTTCCCAAAATTATGGCGTTCCACGTAGAATAGGTCTTAACTTCTTTTTTAATCAAGATATCACTTGAAAAAGGTGATAAACCTCCTCTGACTTCGGGATTTCACCGAGACCGGGGAATAATTTCTTATTTGACCAAGATATCACTTGGAATGAGTGATAATCTATTGTAAGGATCTCCCAACGAACTATCGCTATCACATTAAGAGACAAACCATCCATCGGAGTAAAACTTTGATATAATTTTCTTTGGGAAATCAACAGACTGCTCAAAAGAGACTGGCATTTAATGGAGGAGAACTGATAACAGACTTACTGGGGAAATACAGGTTGCTCAAATAAAGAGACCATCACTTGTCATTATGAAAATTATTGCAACAACACTGCTAGGAAATCAATTTTGACTTCTTGGGAAATATAAACACGTTCCTGCTGAGAAGATGAAGTCTTCACGTGAAAAATAAATACACTCTCAATTCAGGGCTCACTGCTTAGAGAGATCAGAATAATATTGTTGTAGGGGACCAAAGTTCAAACCAGAAACAAACCGGAGTGAAACAGTCAACCAAGACTCTACCATATTTGGGAGACTTCAGGTGTTAGAATGATACCGGTCTTACACAGATTTCCCAAATCTCTACAACCAAACCTTAGTTTCATCTTGTTATACCCCAAATTTTGCCCCTAATATCCTCTACCATCCTATATCATCAGGCACTCTAATTGTGTATCTTATGTATATGTGTTTTATATTTTTACTGACATCTAACCAAAATCCAAAAACATGTCTTGTTTATTTTGTTTCTTTTAAAAGACAGGATTTTCGATCGAGAAAATCAGGTGATGGGTCTCCGATTAGGGTTGTGGTGTGTTCAGACCAAAGACTGGGTCTCAAAGGTTTATTTTTTCAAAGTGGTGATCTATAATCTTAGGTCACGCTGTCCTCAAGCTTCGTTCAACATGGTTAAGGCGAGTTCGGTTGCTTAATTCTCAAGACTCTTTGACATAGGTTGACGTGTTTATTTCCATGTATTCTTCGACGAGTAATCTCAAATTCTGACAAGTATGAACATGGTTTAATCAGAATTTCACCATCTCAAGTTCATATATGATTAAGCGTGCCTTGGGTTGTGGAAAAAGATCAAGTTTGCGAGTAGATTCAAGGTTAGTTGACCAAAAGCCAACATTTATAAGTTCGGGTTCAAATAATCACAACTTCTTCATTATTCAGTATTTTTGATCGGTTCTTCGAGCATAAGAATCTCCTTGATATCATCTCCAACTTCTCTTTTCAAATCGAGAGTTGATTATGTGTAGGAGACCATCAAAAGTTTGGATACATTAGAGGTTATTTTGTGGACTCTGACCTAAATTCAAGTGACATTCGTCCAATTTCCGAGGACTATAAATCTTTGGATTTTCATCATTTCGAGCTGATTCTTTTTGCACGATATCACAAACAACGTTGGCTACGAATTTTCTTCAATGGTCAAAGTCGAATTGTGCTTAGAAGGTTATGGAATTTGTTGAAACTTTATAGATCATTGCGACTTAGGTTAATTTTGATCTCTAAATTCAATTCATGCCATAATTATGTTAAGATAGTTCTTTGTCAAGTGGGAATTTTGAAGAATTATGGATTGGTTGTTGTTTGTGTTTAGTATTAATAGCTTGAATTAGAGTTAGACTTTTGATTGAAAATTCTTCTTGATTGTGGCATGATTATTAGAAATTCAAGGCCATTCTTTCAAGTCAAAATTTCAAGTTCAAAGGTGATTTTAAATTCAAATGTCGAAGTTTGGAGATTCCGAATTTATGGATTCACGTTTATTCAAAACTCCAATTTAGAATTCAAGAGTTTAAGGGAATTACTTTGTTGACATAAGTTTAGGAAATATGAGGCATTTGTCAATTCTTTCAAGCCTTTTTTCAAGAATTCAAATTCAAGGCATAATTTGTGTGTTTCAAGCAAAGTTTAAATGCACATTAAATTGTGGCAAAATTTATGGTGCAAAATAAGAGCTAATTCAAGCTTACAATTCAAGTTTATATAACAAATTCTACATCTTTCAATTTTCAAGACTATGTTCAAAGTTCAAATGTCATTTATCAATACAAGTTCAATTACAAGCTTGAATTACAAAAGTTTCCTAAACTACAAGGAAATTCTTCAAAACTTCAATTTTCCTTGTACTTTTCAAAGTCTTTCTCACCATTATCTTCGACAAATCTCCAAAGCTCTCTAAATCCAAGTTTCTCCATACCAACAACATCACCATATAATACATGAAAAAAGAAAGAAATTAAGGGTGTATTAGCAACATCATTCATCAATACATGAAAAAACAAGGAAGATATAGAGGATATTAGCACATATTTATGTTCATAACTAAAGGCAACAAAAAGTTTCAAATCTTGTTTCAAATTTCTCAACACCAACACCATATTCATTCCATTCCAAAATTCCAGCAAACAAGATGAAAGAAGAAGAAACGTTGGGAGTATCAATGAAGAGTTTAATAAAAGCTGATACATTGATTTATGTTGTTTTATTCCAAAAAATCCATTCCCTCACTTTCTCTAGGGATTCACGCCGGCTATACATGTGAGGATAAGTGGTCCTTCCCACTTGTCCTCTCCACATGAGGATGATTACAAAAATGATTCTATTTGTGTGCACAGTTTTTGCTGTGTATTTGCATTCTAGATTATTGTATATGTATATTTTTGTCAGTTCAATTATTCTGTTTTAATTTTTTTCTTTCTTTTAATTTACTTTTTATTTTTAAAATTAATAATAAATTCAATTTTCATTTGAAAAATTTGAAAAAATTCATAAAAATCTCTTTAATATTTCTGACTTTGTGTAATTTTTTTTCAGAATTTAATTTTACTTTTTGATATTTTTTTATTTTTTTTCATTTATTTAAGTGTTTATAATCAGTTAAAAATATTTTTTGTAAATTAAAATCTTCTGAAAAAATTTGTGAATACTTTAATATTTACTTCTGACTTGTATTGATTTTATGTAATTTTTTATTGATGTTTATGTACCGCTTAAGCTATTCATCTATTTAATCCCTTAAAGATCGACTTTAATTTTATGTATTTGTATATATTTTTGTAATTAATTCTGATTTTTTTTAGATGTTGATTTCTTTTTATGAGTGATCATTAGTGGCTCAAATTTTATGTTTGAAAGTCTAAGGACGATTGGTTATTAAATTTTTGTTCAAAATCTTTGAAACTTGTTGTTATGATGCTTCGGTCTTATCAATCCTCTAACAAGTCTTCACTAACTTTGGCTTAAGTTAAATCTTTAATCATCATTGATCATTTATCATGAAGTTAATATATTTTGCTTCCCTCTTTATTTTATTGTTTCTTTTTTGATCAATTTGGATAAGGCATTTGAACTCTAAGTTCATCTAAGCTTATGGATAGTTGAAAAATTATCTTCTAGGATCTAGGTCTTGATCTCCCTTGTTTTACTTGTGCTACATGTTTTAGGAGTATGATTTCTACCATATCTCTAACATGTACGGTACATAGATTGCTATTGACCGACCTCGTATAGTATCGACTTCTACATAAGTTCGTATGTGATTGCTTAACATAGCGCTACATTGGTCGCGGATCGAAAATTAACTCTAACATTAACTTTTACTTTAAACAACTTTAATTTCTGCACTTTATTTACCCATTTTACTTTATGTCATTTACTTTTAGCATTTACATTTCATATACATGTTTATGATTCTCCATTTTTCTCTTTGTCAAATTACACGTATGTTTATGTTTACGCACTTTTCCTTTGTTCATTTGGACCTTTACTTTGGTGTTTAATTTGTTAATACGAGAATTAAGACTTATCATGGACTATTAGTTACTATCCCTGGTGTGTTGGAATTGTAGATTTCTCGAACTTTGATACTTGGAGACCTTGGTATCCTGTTATATTGTCCGAAGTCCTTGGAGCTCCAAGGCATTGGGTTGAATTTTCTCAGTGTGCAGATTATTATGATTTCTATGTTTTATCTGTGATTTGGAATTCTTCTGTATACAGTCGTTACTCTGTCCAATTTTTTTGAAGACTTTGTGTGATTCTTATTTTTCATCTGAGGCGCAAGTTCATTTGAGGCTTAATTTTATTTGAGGCGCAAGTTCATCCGAGGCTTATTTCATCAGAGGTTTGGTTTTACTATGCTTGCTTGGCTTTTAATTCAAAAGATGGAAATTCTACATTGACTTCTTTATGTCAAGTGTTGGCTTCTTGTTGGTTAGAGCATCCCTTACCTTAGCTTTTACTTTGTGTATATAGGATAACCTCATCATCTCCTCCTATTTTCTTTAATTTTAAAACACCCTTTTCAAAACTCTTTTCATTTTTCAAACTTGAACTACTATTATAATAAACTTGGACTTCGGTCCATGCATTTTTAAAATATTTTTCTTAATTAAACTCTTAATCAATTTAATCATACTTTGACATATTTTTAGAAGACTAAAAATTATTAACCTCATTCAAATCATTTTTCTACTTTGCCTTTTTGTTTTAAAACCTTTTCTCAAAAGACTAGACTCTTGTTGATTCTTATAGTGATGTAATCTACTATACTTCTACGATATGTAATAAAGTGAGAGATTTTCCACTTGGATGTTGAGTGAAGCCTTTTTGATTTTAAATACAAGACATATCCTCCACTTTGAGATGATGTCAATCCTCCTTTCTCATAATCGTGGGTAGTAAATATGTTTTTCACTCGAATATGACGATGACGTCTCTTCTTCTTAAAATTAACCAACACATAACCTTTCAAAATTTTTTAGAACTACGAGTTCCCTGATCCCCTATTGCACCAAAGGTGGTACGTGGGTACAAAAGGTTCGCAACCGTGAAGGGTGCAAAATATGTAAAAAAAAACACTTCTTTTCTCATCTCCACCATCTTGTTTTGTATATACCTTTTATAGCCAACATACACATATTTTCAAAGAGGTTCCTACGGAATACTGTGGATATTTAGGGTGCTAATATCTTCCCTTTGTATAACCAACCCCCTTACATTGATCTCTATTTTACATTAGGTTTTATTCGCTCTTTTCCTAGTCCTTTCGATAAAATAAAGTACAGTGGCGACTTCGTTGATTTTTGCGAGATAAGTCAATCCAATGGATTAGTCTCAACATTTATGCCGCTACACATCTGTAACCTAATACTTTATAATCATTCTATGAATTTCAAAGTCAAAATTCTTGTTAAGGTTCAAGAAAATTGGGAAAATTAATAAACAACAGAAAACCACGCATAAAGACTCGACAACACATGCAAAGACTCAACTGACTAAGAAAATAAACTGGAAAGTAATAAAAATATTAACTAAAAAGAAATAAATCTAATTAGAAAGCTAATAATAAAATAAAATCAGTAAAGTTCCTCCTCCATACTGAAACCGAACATTATCCTTAATGTTTCAGTAAAAGTCGGAAAAGGAACAAGAACCTGATCAATGCCCGCCTTGGTAGTTGCCTGCATGTAGTTGATAGGTGGTAAGCGATTGATATCTTTATTTTCTATAAACTAAAACAAAATAAAAAACATTAAATAAAAGACCTGTAGGTTGCCTCTCACGCATCGCTTCTTTTAACGTCACTAGCTCGACAACTTAGGAGTGTAATCACTCATTGTGGTTCTTTTGAGAATGATTCCTCGATCGAATTTTTAATAATCTTCAGTTTCCATGGATACTTATCGAGTCATCTCTCATATCTCTCACCTTTTCGTTTCTTTCTTTTTTGGGGTGGTTCCTTCTTCTGAACTTGTGAGGGTGGTTTTGGATCTAGTCTGAGTATTATCTTTTCAAGTTTGGGTTTAATTTTTCATCCACTATCTCGAAGGCTAACCTTACGCTCTTAATACTAATGATTTCCCTAGTTTCATTATCCTCTAATTTTATCTTTTTATGCAGGACCTCAGACAAAGGTGCATTGGTGTAGATATTATCCATATATCTATTGGGTTGGGCATCTACATTAGCTTCCACAAATATTTGTGGGAAAGCAATAAGTGGGTTATAGGGGGGAGGAACAACATAAGGTGTTTCCTTCTCTACCTCTTAGACAACCTCTTTTCGGGTGGTTTCAGTGGATCTTTCTTAATCTCTACTCTTTTCTCACCAAAACTCTCATCGACCTCGTTATCACTCTCCTTAGGATTTTCAAATTTGTCCTTCGCTACTTATTGTTACAAAATCTGCATGCCTCTTAAGAAAGGGTCCTAGAGGTTTCTATGCAAGCAGGGAGAATTGAGTCTCGAATGCCATGTTGTGAATTGTGAGGGACTAGACCACATTGTTTAGCTTTATAAGGTTCTCATTAATATGGAGACTTTGTTAGCTAAACTCTTCATTTTGGATAATTTGTGTCACTACAAAGCGCTCCATCATAGATTCTAGCCTAAAGAGAGTTTACGTCTCAATGAAATCCTCCATTAATATTTCAAGTTCGGATTTATGGGAATCTTGGGATTCCTAAAAATATAGGGAGTGGTAATTATAGAGAAATTTTTGGTGATACATAGTAATAGAGATAAGAGTGCCTTAATCTATGCAGTGCAACAATGGAGTTACGATATTGACTAAATTGGTCCACGACAACGGCGCCAAAAACTTGATGCATCCGCAAGTGCACGAAAATATCAAAGTAATATAAAAGATTGTCGAACCCACAAAGACCAATAGTCAATCGAATCGCTATCTATTGTTACAGTGTAAATCTAAGGCTAATTAAATCTTTTGTTGGATAAGGGAAAACTAAAACTAGAACTAAAATAAATCTCAGAAAATATATTAATAAAGACAAGGCCGACATATGGATCATGTCGCTATTCGCGGACTCAATAATGATTTGGCGTTAGTTTGACAATAAATCATTTTTAATAGAAAATAACAACTTTAAAGACTTAATCTCACCCTCTCGGTCTAATTAATTAAAGCCACACTCATAACCATGATATTATTCTCTCGCTCGCCCATTTCAATTAAAAGTGTATTTTGAAAAGTTGTTAAGTCATAATTGATGCCTAAAACGCTCTCGTTGTATTTAGAATCAATGTCCAGCTTCCATAATCTGGTTCATTCCTCACCCTCTCGGTGTAATTAGACTAAACCTTAGTTGATTCTACTTTTATGTTAAACCATTTTAATTATACTTGGAAAGCCAAACCAGAAAATTAATTTAAGAACAACGCCAATTTATACCGAGTCTCGTCAGAACGACGGTCCTCACATACCATACTTAAAACAATTTAGCCAGACATAATTTCATAAACAAACATGCAATTATAATTATTAACCATGAACAGAGGCATATTCAGACTTGTAATGATAAAAACAATATTATAAGAAAAGGAAACTAAAATAATTGCAAATAAATAAACCTGAAAGTAAAGCAGATGAAATAAATTGGAATAAAGTTGTGAATGGAATAAAACTTGAAACTTGAATAAACCTTTTAAATATTTTTGGCAAGATTTTT